AACTGTACTTCGTTAAATAAGCTCACATTGAGACGAATAAGATTAATGAACTTTCTACATCATGAAACAAAAATTTACGATATGGTTTGGTGTATTTATCTCACAGTGATGAATAAATAATTGGAGTACCCGTTAAGCGCTTGAAAAAGTCTGTCGTAAACTCAGTTTTGGATCATGAAGAAGAAATGCGAACAAGCACGTACATCTTGATGTACGGGAAGTTCTTTTTGATGCATTTTTGGTTACATTTGTTACTGTTAAGTTTGTTTTACCATCTCTTTCCTTATCCACTTCAATTCGACTCTTTTGCGTATTGTTTTATACTACTTAATACTATTCAGTAAATTGTTGTATTCTTAGCAACTTCTACGCTTATGTTGTAACGCGAGTTTGTCGTGTAATATCCTGAAATATTTACATATACTTATCACACTTATTGTATTTATCATCATGATGACTTTATCTCAACTACTGTAGCAGTTATCCACAATTTTGTGCATTTATTTAACCTTTGTTTAAACGCAACGGTTTTCATATTGTTTGCTCTTGGTTCGGATTTCGCTTGTTGGTAAACTGTTACCAAGTTTAGACACAGCCATCAGCTGTCTTTTGCACTATCGAAGCCCTTTTTATTTCATTCAAAAGGACGCGTTAAATACCCTAGATACCTCACAATTTGAGTTTTATAACTAAATTTTGTATATTATTCAATAGAAAACCGCTATTTTAGACAAATCGTTATTTTGTGAACTTCGGTTTTGCGCGTATGTCAATTGGGTGACCTGAACGCCTCGATAGACTATGGTGTTTGAGTGAACTAATGATAACTTTGTACCTATTGAATGCTTGATTTCGAATTATAAGTACAGTACATTCGTTTATGGTTATCTAGTAGTTCTTGATCCGATTACGTTATTTCTGTGATTCTTATTTCATACTATAATTCAAATACTTCTAAATATCACATAAACTTAACAGTGATTATAGTAGTAATGACTGTTCTGATTGTTGTCTTTTAGTTGACCCTTATGTAAATATTAAACATAGGGTAATTGACGAAAAAGCAATTCTTAGAGATTTAGGAGTAGTAAGCATTGAGTTAGAAGCTATGCAGCTTGAGCTTCGTAAATGACTGGTAGAATTACAGCAGATACATCTTAACAAGGTGAAAAGTGGATTTCGGATGTCTGAGCTATCTACGTCTTGACTCCAAGATCGGGCGCCTGAAGTTGTTGTTGGTCGCCGATATACTAACGAAGGCACGATCAGAGATGTCGAAATTAAAACAGGCGTAGATAATATTAAGTCACCGCCCATGTCAGTAGGTTTGCCTAAATTTCAGATTGAATCTTCAGATAAAGCTAATCAAACGACGATTAAGAGAGCATATGCTATTAACGCCGCATGCATCAAACAACCAGAAAACTCTCCAACCAGAAACGATGCACTGAACGAACTCCATGTAAATGATAAACCAACTAATTTGGTTTTTAAACAGGGTTCGCAAGGACGCATTCATAGGACTTTAGGAATTTGCACATCCAGTTCAGTTGTTTTGGATTTAACATAAACTTCTGCGACCGTCTGACAAATAAGAAGGATATCCTTTCACTTTCAGTATTTGAGTATGAACCACTTGGTTTAATAGTACCTCTATTACTTTCGCCTAGACGGACTCTGCAACAGCTGTGTTGTAAAAACTGAGAATAGGATGAAACTGTTGATGAAAGTCTCAGCTCGAGTTTGGAAACTTGGCTGGAGGGAATTACAGATGACAAAACCTTGAGGATACCACGATGCTTAAGTATTGAGCCATGTGTCAAAGGACCGATATCTAATGCATCAGAAAGTAGTTATGGGGCTGTAGCTTATATTAGGTCGGAGTATGATGCAAGTACAACGAGATGTTCCATCCTGAGAAAATCTAGAATAGCTCCCTTGAAACTTGTTCGTGTTCCACACCTTGAACTGCGAACCTCAGCACTGTTAGTGAAATTGATAAGACAAATAGTGGAAGAAATAAGGCTGAAACATATGACTGAAATTTACTTTCGAAATGACGTGATGGAAAGATCCAGGTTGTATATTAATAAATATAGTAACGCTGAGAAACTTCGGAAGCATCGTACTGATCAGTCTGTTGTGCTTCACGAAGCTAAGAAGGATGAGCAACCTCAGAATCATGCTGTTGACCGAACTAGATGAAACCTCACCACTGAAAGAAAAACAAATTGATACTTCTGAACACATTAACTACGATACCGCAAATAAATTTATCGATGATATAATAGAGAGTGAATGTGTCCCGTTACTTGAGTAAAATGGCTATGCGTTATTTAGTCAGTTACGTGTCATAACTAATAAAATTTAAAGAAGAACATACAAAATATAAGAATAAAAGTTAAATGCGAAAAGAAATAGGCTGGAATACGTGAATCATATCGTAGGATACCAACTGAGATTGTAGGCACAACTGATGATCTGATAAATACTTGCGACTACAAAGAGAAGTCAAACAAGATACTGGAATATAATTCAAGTGGTAAAACTATTTCTGACAATGGATCTAATGAATGAATCGATCGTTTAGACTGTTTGGACTGCGAACACTTTGGTTCAGAGGTTGTTTCCAATAGACTTGTGATTAAAAATAGTGTTACTAAAAAGCTGGCAACCTTTATAATTCCTCCGTATCTTGATGATTTCATTATAAACACTGAAAAGGAACTTAATAATGTTTTTGTTGAACCTGTTCTTAGATTAGATAAACTGGGTCATAACGAACAGGAGTCTGAGGTTCTTATGGTAAGGGGACCCTTTGTTCTGTCTACACAGTCATTTTAACCTAAAAGACCTAAGGAATATTTAAGTGATCTAGTTCATCAAACCACAACAGACTATGAACCTAATCTAACTAAAACGGCTGCATTAGGCGTAAAAGGTAATGAAATTTCTCTATCATGTACTAATGAGGAGATTGATGATAGATTTTAGTCTTGAACGAATACTGGTTTCGTTTGTTTAAATGACATAAGTAGGATGGATGCCGTCAGTGTCCACCATGAAAAGACCTGTGAATAAGTGTTATTTCTGAACGAAAAGTAAATGAATAGTGACTGCTAGGAATTATATATATATATATATATATATATATATATATATATATACGGGGTCGCTAACCCCATGTCCAATCCTCCTCCGTTATCCGGGTTTGGGACCGGCAGTGACCCCATAGGAGCTCCAAGCGAAGTGGGTTGAACAATGCTGGTCGGCAGCTTATGCTCCATTGGGAGTAACAGGAGTAAGTATAAGTAAGTAAGTAATATATTTTCACTTAGACTAACCAACTATACTTTGTACAAACCATTCTGAAAGCCATTTTTGAAATTGGATACAGTTATAAGCCTCAGACACAAACATACTGCCTTGATAAAGTGTCATTTTCAGGTGAACCATATAAGATTTAACATCTGACATTTCTTAGCTCTGACTATGATTGCTATATATATATATTTAACTACAGTAACCTCTTATGAAAAGTCTATAGTATACCTAATAATGTTCCTAACTGTAGTTCCGTGATTAATATCTCAACCTATGAATTTTTTTACCAAGTTTCAACTAGTATATTCCTCATCGACGTACATGTTAACCTAGCTTATACATCAGAAATAATATGTCATCTCTATGCCATCAAATTTTATAATTATTTGAATCGTCATTAACATTGTAGTGACATTGCGCCCTAACCACACAATTCTCAAAGCTGAACCCCAGACAACTGGGAAAATAGATATTCAACATTTAAAGCGGGGAAAAACCCAAAGATGGAGAAGGCGGGAACAAAGAACTAAATTGAATTCAATCGGGTGACATGGATCAGCCTTGCAGGCGTGGTCATTCTATATGACTTATTTCTATTCATATTCAATATATTGTTCTATCTCCAGCCTAAATGTGTTCTCCACCTTATGTCGGTGGTTGTTACGATACGATGAGTCAGTATAGACAGTAATGTGACTTCCACGTACGATCTTATAGATTAGGCAGTTACATCATGACAAATCTACAATTTCAGGATTAGGTCTATTATTAGAGCGGTACTAATAACGAGGTAGACCATAACTTTACAACATTTTCTGCTAAACCCATGGTGAAATGGATATTCAGTGTTTTCAAGTTTGCAATAGTGGTCTAATTTAGATAAGTTCATGGTTTTAATGAAATTAAAATGAAATATAAAGAGGTCTATCTGTTCCCTAAATTAATTAAGTTCATAAAATTCATGTAAAATAAGATGGTTTACCGACTAATAAGAATTTATTATACAAACAATAATAATTTAATGATTCCTTATAATGTGGTTATTTTATTCCTCTAAGGTTCTATCTGAAGTGTATTCCTTTTTCTCGATCTCTGATTTATTTGTTTATCTCCACAAGAAACTAAGTGATATATTAATGAAACTAACTATGAATGATAAACATATTTTTTGTTGTTATATCCCTATGAGTTGAATAGTTGTATTTCTAATTTTTCGTGACTTAGTGTTAGCCACCTTAATCTGAAGAAGTGGATTGCGACTCAGTAGCTAAGTAGATAACGCGATAGCTCCTAAAGCGAACGGTAATGAGTTTCAGTCTCGGAGTGAACACCAACTTTGGGACACAGGTATATCCAGCTGACCAGTCCCAAATAGGACGAAACGCGCGTCCTGGTCACTATCCATCTTTGCTTAGAAAGTTTGTAACTTAAGGCAATATCGAGGTAATTTGCACAGGATGCGCATACGCTAACAAGAGACTGATCAATTACAGTCCTAAATAACAAATGGAAGATAGGAGTAAAACAACACCAAGTGTATTCGTTATTAACTTTCTACCTAATGCTTAATTTATTTGAAAAAAAAACTATCAAGTCTAACCTTGGCATTGATACCGACTACCTCTATGAATGTTAACCAGTCCGTTAGTAAATAATTCAGACAAAACATTAAATAATAATGGTAATAGTAATAATAATTATTATTATCATGATCATTAATATTTAAACTTTAATAATAAAAATATCGTTTGATAAACCTGGGTCTAATTTTTGGACTTTGAATGAATACTTTTATGTTTTGTGGAGTTATAATGTGTTTAACTGTAATTTGTGGTTTTTGTTGTGGAATTGGTAACACTTGTTGTTGTTGTTGATTCAACTGTAATTGTTCAATTTGAAGTGGTGGTACTTGGGGTTTTACACTTATTTGACTCTGTGTTTGAGTTTGTCCAGCCGATGAACTAGAGAACGGAAATGCTGGTATTTCAGGTGACGTTTGTAGAGTTACTGGAGGTGGTTTTTGTGAACTTACTGGAGGTGGTTGTTGTGGACTTACTGCAGGTGGTGGTTGTGAGCTTACTTCAGGTGGTTGTTGTGGAGTTGCTGCAGGTGGTTGCTGCTGAGGTATTGTAGGTGGTAATACTGGGGCAGTTGGAGGTGGTTGTTGTGGAACTATCGGTTGTTGTGGTACTATTGGTTGTTGTGGTACTATTGGTTGTTGTGGTACTAATGGTTGTTGTGGTACTAATGGTTGCCGTGGTACTATTAGTTGTTGTGGTACTATTGGTTGTTGTGGTATTATTGGTTGTTGTGGTATTATTGGTTGTTGTGGTATTATTGGTTGTTGTGATATTATTGGTTGATGAGGTATCATACTAGGTCCCACAGCATAATGACCACCATATGGAAATCCAAATGGATGTTGAGGTTGTATATATGTATGTCCACTAATACCATAAGAATGGCTCACAATTGGTTGTGCTACAGGCACTGAAACTGGGATTTGTGCATATACTGGAACTGAAACTGGTACAGAAACTGTTGGCATTATACTTGTTCCATAGAGAAGTCTAGATTTGGGAGATGATTTATCATGAGACTTAACTGAATTATCCATTTGTTTTCGATGTTTATTATATTGATGAAAGTAATAATAATGAATAAGATTATTATTATTATTATTATTATTATTATTATTATTATTATCTTTCTTATTATTGTTATTTTCACTATCGAAATGTATGATAACATCATCATTATTTTCATGGTTATAGGAATTATCATCATCATCATAATTATCATAATATTTCACAGCTAATTTAGGTAATTCCGGTATAGAATATTCATCATCCATATCTAAACTATATTTTTTTAAACTTTTATCCTTTAAATCATATGATAATGAATATTCTTCATTATTCAATGGATTTTTTGCTTCTTGACTATTATATATTGGTAAATTAATTGGAATACAATCAGGTTTCCACATTATTGATGGTACATAATTAATTGGATAATTTGATACGAATAATCCATTCATAAATAAATAGAATAGACAAATATAAATGATAATAAACATAATATTGATTTGTCAAGATTGTGTTCCTTTTTTTTGTGTTTTGTTTTTGTTTTATGTTTCTTTTCTCTATCTTTCTCCCTCTTTATCTCTCTTACACAGAAATAATCCCTGTAAAATCAGTGAATAGAATCAATGTAAACTTATTATTCATTTAATTATTATTATTATTATTTAAACATATAAACATGGGTACAAGGAAGCATTAAACCAATATATACGCCATATAAATCATTTATCATTTGTCCTATTCTTAATATTCTATATTAACATAGTTTATTGATATGTATATAAGATAGATTGAGTGCAATTGTTTAAGAGAAAGAAAGAAAAGAAGAAAACAACAACAACAACAACAACAACACTTCACTCATTCAATATTATTTATTAGGAAATCAATTTACAAAAAATAAAGAAAAAAAAAGAAAAAAAACAAACGGAAACAAACTTCTTTTTTCTTTTCTCTTTCTTTCTCTTAAAATTTTTCTCTATTCTTTACAAATCAATAAATGACGTATATAAAATTATGATATATTAATATTGATTATACTGACTATGTCAGTCATATGATGAGAGAATAATTTATGGGGGTGGGAGGGTGGTAACAAGTTTCTTTATTCAATAAACATGATGTGAACAGAGAGAAAGAAAAAAAAGGAAGCTTTAACGAACTACGAAAGTTATTTTTCAAAACGTTATTTCAGTCCATTCAAACAGTAACATTTATTTTTGTTCTTAATTTATTCTACAGATTATAAACTTTCATTTGGTGTATGATTTACTGCTATACAATAGTTTGTTCTAAAGCTATTGTATTTTAAACATAATAATTTGTACTCTATTTTCTAGGCTAATCCCCAATTTTGAACATAATTGTATTTTCTTCATTATTGTACTTTGTGATTGGGTTAGTCATTGATTTATTCATGGATGTTTTTACACTGATCTGAAATTGGGAACCAGATTGGGAATGAGAATAAATCGAGTAGTTTTCCAGTTAGCTTATCTTTTCTCTTTATCTCACATCGAACTCATGCGTACTAGCCTTAAGGTTAAGCCGGTCAGCCTATCGCGTCAAGGTCTTAATTTAGATTAGGCAAGTTATCCTCAGCACCAAAGATGGGTAGACAGATCTAGGACGTAACAAAGCAATAGTTACTGTATACCAGTCCATCGAATCCCCCACATAATTCCTTGATCAGATTAAGAACATTTAAATCAAAAACGACGAGCTAATGATATCCTTTGACGTAATAGTTTAGCAAAGGAAACTCTATCCTTGCTTCTCTCCAACGACACAACTCTCGCAAAGTACACGAAACTTCAAAGTCAAAGTTTACTAGAACTCATCAATTTATGCCTAACAACATACTTTCAACTCAACAACAAAATCTAAGAACAAATGAAAGGGATGCTGATGGAATAATCAATATCATGATTTATTGTAGAAGCAGTGAAACCTTGATCTTACCATTGATCGAGCAAAAAATTTGAATTTGTTATGTGGACGACACATTCGTCACCGTCAAAAAAGGATGAGCTGGAGAACACTTACATGCTGATCAACAACGTCTTCGATGACATCAAGTTCACAATGGAACAGAGGTCAAACGACAAACTATTATTCTTGGATGCATTAATCACTAGAACCGACATAGGTAAACTGGAGACTCAAGTATATAGGAAGCCGACCCACACAGATCAAATTCTCAATTATAATAGCAACAATCTAAAAATGATGAATACTACAAAAGCAAACCATTCAGCTCAGAGAAGAAAACTCCATCAAAATCATTCACCTAAGCTACAAATCTTCTCCACCAACTGTATACTGAAAGCTATCATCTTGGGATTAATATGTTTGATTTGTTTGTTTCTCTTTTTAATCTAAAATTGATAATTTACGAGACAGTTCTTAGTGAAATTCGAATACAAAAATTGAAAAAGTTGTAGTGTTGGATGTGATATTACCATATTCTGTTAATATTACTAAAATAGAATTGAATCTATCCGATATTATAGAGATAACGAATATCAAGTTCGACTATCCTCTTTCGGATACAAACCTTAAAAAATCAACTTTTTGATGCAATAAAAACTAGGTTGAACAATTTTGAAGATGAACAATGCAAGTGATGTTGACAAACATTCATTGTAGCATAAAGAAATATCTAATACATTTAAAAGATAAAATTAATGAGAATAAATTAGGCACTGAGGATATTGTACAATGTAACAATGAAAGATCCTCGATTAAATCATTAAGCTTAGAGGATAATAACACTAAGAGAATTATAAGACTGTTTAGGTTTCTATGCTCAATATCGAAGAATGGCTTATTAAATAAGTTTTCCAATATATATCGACAATGATGAAATGATAACATGAGATTTTGTGAATTATTTTCTTATGAATAATACTTTAGAGATGATCGACAGTTTTATATTTCACAGATTGAAATCATGAGTCATTTGAAGCTAGACCACCATGGAAAACCTGAAAGTACTGGACGGCCGTTTCGTCCTAGTATGGGACTCCTCATTAGTGCTTATCCACGACCCTACCTCGTGAGATATTGAACCCAAGACCTTCGGTCCTAAACTCCAGACCACTGAGCCAGTATCTAACGGTGTTAATGTCTAACCTTAACCAATCCACGAAGTCGCGTGACCATCTTCCATTGTACTGAGGTAGATAACTGTCTCTATCCGAAAGGATTAGCTCCTCACTTACGAAAGCTAATGAGCAGGACTCAACAACAGAACAATGTGCCAAGCTATTTGTCCAGAGTAAACCACAGTGAAACTACTTACTAACTTACTTACTTACGCCTGTTACTCCTAATGGAGCATAGGCCGCCGACCAGCATTCTCCAACCCACTCTGTCCTGGGCCTTCTTTTCTAGTTCCATCCAATTCTTGTTCATTTTTCTCATGTCTGTCTCCACTTCTCGGTGTAATGTCTTATTTGGTCTTCCTCTCCTCTTCCTTTGGCCTTGAGGATTCCATGTGAGGGCTTGTCTTGGGACACGGTTGGGTGATTTCCTCAATGTGTGTCCTATCCACTTCCAGCGCTTCTTCCTGATTTCTTCCTCCTCTGGGATCTGGTTTGTTCTCTTCCACAGTTGGCTGTTGCTGATAGTGTCTGACCAACGGATCCGAAGTATTTTGCGTAGACAACTTTTAATAAACACCTGTATCTTCTGGATGATGGCTTTCGTAGTTCCCCAGGTTTCTGCTTCATACAGTAGAACTGTCTTGACATTTGTATTGAAAATCCTGACCTTGGTGTTGGTTGACAGTTGCTTTGAGTTCCACACGTTTCTCAGTTGTAAATATGCTGCCCTTGCTTTGCCGATCCGCGCCTTCACATCTGCATCAGACCCACCATGTTCATCAATCATGCTGCTCAGATATGTAAAGTTTTTTACATTTTCCAAAGTTTCTTCATCAATTGTGATTGGATTGGTGCATGCTATGTTGTATCGATGAATCTTGCTTTTCCATTTGTGTATATTGAGACCTATTGTTGCTGAGGCTGCTGCTACACTAATCGTCTTCTCCTGCAATTGTTGTTGCATTCATTATAGAAGGGCCAGATAATCTGTGAAGTCCAGACAGTCCAACTGCATCCTAGATGTCCATTGTATTCCGTGTTTCTCTTCAGATGTTGACGACTTCATGATTCAGTCGATCACCAGGAGAAAGAGAAGGGGTGAGAGTAAGCAACCTTGCCTGACACCAGTCTTTACCTCAAACGAGTCTGTCATTTGTCCTCCATGCACGATTTTGCAGTTTAACCCATCACATGAATTCTGTGCGATATTGACTATCTTCTGAGGCACGCCGTAGTGTCGAAGAAGTTTCCATAGTTTTGTTCTGTCCACGCCATCAAATGCCTTTTCGTAGTCAATGAAGTTGATGTAGAGTGATGAATTCCATTCAAATGATCGTTCCACAATGATCCATAGAGTTGCGATTTGGTCTGTACACGATCTATCCTTACGGAATCCTGCCTGTTGGTCACGATTTCGGGCGTCTACGCAGTCCATCATCCCGTTTAACAATACCCTGTTGAAGACTTTTCCTAGTATTCAGAGAAGAGTGATGCCCCTATAGTTATCACACTAGCTGAGATCGCCTTTCTTTTGTATTTTGGTCAGAAGTCCTTCCGTTTAGTTTTTTGGTACTTGTTCCTCATCCCAAATCTTATTTGAGAGAATGTGGAGTATCCGTGCAGTTGCTGCTACGTCTGCTTTTAGTGCCTCTGCCGGAATATTGTCCGGTCCTGTTTCGTTGTTCTTCAATGTTGGTGATTACCTCACCTTCCTTGCTTTTCACTGGTCATTCTGGTTTACGGTGATTTCTAGAGAGTTTCTTTGTTATGTCATACAATTGTCTCATGTTTCCTTCTCTTGCAGCCTTTTCCGCCGTCGTTGCTAAATCTTCCACATATTTACGTTTGTCGGTTCTGATGCTCTTCTTCACTTGTTTGTTTACTACTGTGTATTCAGCTTGTGCCTTGGCGTTTTCTACACTTGTTCGGCTGGTATTGATTGCTGCCTTCTTGTTCCTCCTTTCGTGAACCTTATCCAGTGTATCAACAGTGATCCATTCCTTGTGATGGTGCTTCTTGTGACCCAGGACCTCATGACATGTTGAAGTGATTGCCTCTTTGATCCCCTTCCAGTTGCTCTCCACAGTAGTTCCTTCTCCATTGAGTAGATCATGAAAGGCCTGGAACTTGTTACTGAGGACTATCTTGAATTTATTAAGTTTGTTAGTATCCTGAAGAAAGGCCGTATTGAACTTTTGTGATATTGTCCGCCCCATTGTCCAGTGCTTTTTGAGTTTCAATTTCATCTTGACGACCAGCAAGTGATGATTTTAGGCTATATCAGCTCCTCTCTTGGTTCTCACGTCCTCTATAGTCCTCCTGAACTTTTTGTTGATGCAAATATGTTCGATATGGTTTTGTGTGGTGTGATCCAGTGAAGTCCATGTGGTTTTGTGAATGCGTTTATGTGGGAATATGGTGCCCCCTATGACCAGTTTATTGAAGGCATATAGGTTTGCAAATCTCTCACCATTTTCTTTCATTTCTCCCAGTCCGTGTCGTCCCATGATGTCTTCATATCCAGTGTTGTCTACTCCAACCTTGGCATTTAAATCTCCCATCAGAATGGTCGTGTCTTTTGTTGAAAACTTCTTGACGATTGACTACAGCCTGTTGTGGAATTGATCTTTAGCGTCTTCATTGTAATAGTTGGTAGACGCATAGCATTGGATGATGTTCATTGAAATGCCCTCTTTCTTTGTTTTGAAGGAGGCTTTGATGATCCTTGGTCCATGAGATTCCCATCCTATAAGTGCATTTTTTGCTTGTTTGGACAGCATCAATGCAACTCCTTGTGTATGTGGGGCATTTTCTTCTTCATGGCTGGAGTATAACAGAAGCTCTCCTGAAGTTAGTCGTTGTTGTCCAACTTGCGTCCAATGTGTTTCACTGATCCCAAGTACCTCTAGGTTGTATCTTCTCATTTCTGCAGCAATTTGGAAGACTCTTCCGGTCTCCCACATCGTACAAGCGCTCCATGTACCTAAATAAATGGTTGCTCTGGTTGTCAGAAGGGGCATTGGCTTCGTAACTTCCGAAAGAATTCGGCTTTCATTATGAGGCGTCCTAGTTCTTCTAAATGAAGACCTTCTGACTCCCGGGGCAGAGTTTAAAAGGTTTGAATAGTTTTTTCTGGTTAGCGTTTTTTTAGCGAGTTAGTTTACTACGGGATGGGGACGCTAACCCCATGCCCAACTCTCCTCCTTTATCCGGGCTTGAGATCGTCAGTAGCCCTCGGAGGGACTCCAGGCGGAGTTAGCTCCACTGGAAACTAAATTAAAAATACATTTTATTAATCTATAATGGATTATTAATGAAACTAATCGAAAACTTCCAGTGAAAACTGGAAATTTTTCCAACTTTCAACAGTTTATATTTTTCATTAACAAAGTGGAATATATTCATTATTTTTATTCTGATAATTGAAATTTCATTGTAACACTTCAATAAAAAGGTAATTTATTTAGATTTATTGATTTAAACAAAATAACCATGAGTTCATTCACTGTTATTGAACAAACCCAAGCCCCCAACGTTTGGGGGAATTTCGGGGTTTTTGTGCCATTTCCCCAAAATTTCCCCAAATGGGTCAAATTTTCCACAAAATTGGGAGCTTAGGAATATTCTGTAAAAATCTTCAGTTCAAAGGTTGAAGTCATTAAAACACCATCTTCTTGAGTATTTTGTAAGTAACTAGCTTGGAAATCATACACTTTAGCAAATGGATAAGTAAGCTTTTCTTAAATTACACTAAATTACACTTAAATAGATACCAGGGTAGAACTCCATTTTTATCTTTAGCTAATATGAATCATTGAATCAAGTTTATGTTCTTTAAAATTCTTTTATTTATAATGAAATTGAACTTGACCTCATTTTATTGGATTTCAAATTTTAATAAGTTATCAAGGGACATTTTGTATGGATATTACAGACGATATTCTAGAATCATTGCCAGACTAATTACAGAGAAGAATCTTCTCGTTAATTAACAGAAAAAGTCAGAGTTGTAAAGCTAAAACTTAACGGAATTAACAAAAGCAAATCACTAAATGTAGAAAACTTACTTGTCTAGGACTTGTGTGAAATGACTAACTGAAAGCTATTTATTGATTCACTGATCTAAATAGCATACGTATCAACCATGCACAGAATTATTTACGTGAACTTACTTTGTAGAACTGCACATCTGGACTAGATTACGTTGAAAGTAAATGTGTCAGTACCTCGATTACACAATTATTTTTATCTGAGAACTTAATATGGCTATTTTAATCTTCAAAACTGTTCATGCCATTGTTCATAGGTAATTTATAACCTATTTATACTTCTAATTCAGTTATCTATCCTAATACTTCAGGTATATTCAACTATAGTGTTATCATGAAAGCAGTAACAACCAATACTTTTCTCGTTTATCTTAGTTATAGAGACCTCAAATGGTTACTCTAACTTCAACTACATAATATCATACTCTATTTATAGTTTTTATTTATTTGGTCACTTCATAGAAAATTAATTTCAACACGTAACATTTTAAATTATCTTACAAACTATAGTCAACTTTATCTAAGCAAAAGTGAGATAGTATGTTTTCATAGAATAGTAGTCACTGTAAAGAATTTCTTAGCTTTAACGTTTTCATTCCAAGATTATCTTTCTTCTCCAGGGTACAAATGAAAAGACTACATGGTCAGAAAGCGGTGAATCCTACCGCATAGTTCATTGATGTACAAAGAACAAAACATGAGTAGCTGTTGTGTCCCGATAAGAATAATGAGTGGTAATTTTTTGGGATATATTTATGGACCAATACTCTTCGTATATTTTTGTCGTATAATTGTTAATCAACTAAACTATTCATATTCATGTCTCTCTTATCATAAGCTTTATTTTAACCTATGAACTGTTAGCATACGATTTTCCATTATTGGATTATTATCTGTCTATTAGTCACTGCCTCCCACATTCATAGCCACATTTGGCCAAATGTTGTACAAATGTTATTTTCTATTTTATCGTACGATATGGTCTGCTTGATTGGTATATAAACAGAGTTTGTTTGAAATGGTGGAGAAGATTTTTAGCCTACATGAACATCAATCAGCAGTCAAACGCCATGATACTTCCTCACTTAAATCAATACACGTGGACAACTGTGGACACTCGTTCGATTGGAAAAATGTGGAAATCTTGGATAGGGGAAATTCCAAAAACATCAGAGAATTTTTAGAAGCCTGGCACTCAGATCAATCAGCAATCAACGAGCACATTGAAGTCGATTCAATTTATCAACCAATCAGGAAAATTATGCACAAATATAGGAACAAAAATCAAAGCAATGGGAGACACAGCCAAAACAAAGAAGTAAACAATGACAATGAGAATCAATCAATGTCGAGGTGTACAGAACAAGCTGTGAAACGCACATGGAGAAATTCGAACACTTCATTTCTATCTGAAGTTTGTGCTGATGATTTTATTCAGAAGAACGATGAAAGCTCCACGACCAAACCATCTAGCTCAGAGAACAAAACCCCATCAAAATATGTTTGAAATACATGATTCATATTGCAGAGGCTGAGACTGTTGTTTTGAACTTAAATTGCCGGGCTAGGTGGGAAGCAGGACCAATCAGGACTTTAGACTGCTTGCACGTGTTTTACGCGTCCTTGGTTCGATCGATAATTCACTGCTCTTTAATCGGAGACCACAAGACATAACAGTAGCATAATTTCTTTTCAGAGCAAAATAGCATAGAGATTCATATTATTTCCCTATTAAATCCTATTTTCTGTCCACACCTTATTGCACATTTTAAAATATACTACTTTCTCGTGATTTTGAGTGCCAAGTTAAACTAAAAGAAAGAGTACTGTGTACCAATGTTTTTTCTTATAGTTGTTTGAATAAACTTCTATAATTTTAAATCCTCAATAAATTGAACATTAAGATCAATATATGTTATTGGTTGAACTGTTGGTCGTTCTGTTGGGAAATAACTTCATCGAAACAAAATCAGATAAATAACTAACAAAGAAATAAGTCTATTAAAGCTGTACCCTTTCGACTGTATGATAAACCAAAAGTACTTAAAGAAAACAACATTTCATCAACAGTTGTATTCAATTTAGTGACGTTTAAATACAATTTATCAAACGGGATAACAAAAGTATGACAAAAATATGATCACTAAAATGATAGTTAAATATTTGAGTAACCATAACAATTAGAAAATGCTACAAACACCGTGAAATAATGATGAACATTTGGTACAAACATCATAAGCTGATGGTGATTCTCAATAATAAGATTGAAATAGTTAGATCAAATCACATTAACTGATTATTATCCTCATAATAATGCTTCTTCTGTATTGTTGACTCACAACCGTAATGATGACATTCCTTTCATCTGCACTTCTATTTAATACTCATTATTCATCTACTACTACTCATAATACTATTAATACTACTACTCAAAGTACTACTACTGTAGTGAATGAACACTCAGATGGGGAAAGCCAATTTAGATTGATCGGTACATAATTACACAGTAGTTTAGTAAAATGTGGAAATCATACGTAAATTAATTTATTTTCACATCATTAAATCGTCTCTTACAAGCTTCATTCCTATAGGTTACCTTCAGTATCCTTCTCTCTTCTTTATTTCAATCGCCTAAACCTCAAATATTACTTACATCACGATTACTCCTATTCCCACTAGAACTACTGCTATTATACCGCATATACTACAACAACTACAATACTATAGTTACTGATATTCACATTAGTATATATACCAATTACTACGAATACATGCAACGTGTGAATCGATATTCAGTGTGCTGATATACGTGCTGATTTGAAAAAGTTCAGTAATAATAGAATGTTATTGCATCAGGTCACATTGAATGAAACATGCAGTCAAAAATTATCAGCAGATAAAAACACTGATAAAGATTATGTAAGTGGATTGAATTTAAAGTTGAGAAGGATAACAACTAAAGAAATTAATCTCTTTTCACAAACACTGATCTTTTAAGAACTTAGATTAAAACGATTGTAGTTTGATTACAATGAGAAATATTAGTGTTAATATGGGTTATGTTATTAAAGACTACCATTCAAATACATTAGTTAATCAAATGATAGACAATACATTCTGCATAGTGTCTTCATTCAATTAATGAGTGAATTGAAGACAAGAATAAAGTGACAAACTGTATATGAAAAAGATTATTAAACGATCACACTTATGAGAAATGATCTATATTGTCTACGTGAACTGTTGTCATTTCATTCATACAACGTATTAGCAACAAGAAAATTAGTATATAAGTGAAACTGATTTACAAAAACAGCGTATTGAAGTTGCAAATTCAACTTCATATCACACTGATTATCTTATGAATAACTGTGATTCAATCATACACAAATCATGATATTGATGAAGATGATTTTATTGACATTCTGTTTCTATTTGACACTACAATTGAATCACATTAGTGGACAACTGAATGAACACACCAATGTACAACAGAATCAAACTATCTCACATATTGTTTTAGATGCAAATGAAACTAATCCGATTGCCGATAACAATCAATCAGAAATGGATGTTACGAATCTAATGGAAAATCAATTGGATTCATCAGATATTGACATTGAAAGGAAAAGGAGGTCACAACAAACACAACTTATCATAGATTTCAGTGGAATAAATGAAAAGAGAATAGCGTTACAGAGACAAATATCGGAAGGAGATGACAGAATATCATCGATTGTACAAAATCAAGAACAGCGTGCAATATCGAAAACACAAAGAAATATCAGTGAATTTCAAGTAGAGCAACGACAAAATATAGAAGAAAAATTACTGAAAGAAAAAAAACATCAAAGAATAAACCAAAATAACAAAAATGAAGGAATGAAGAATAAAATTGAAGACGAGAACACCATTAAAACAACACAAACAAAAATAATGTACACAGAAATATCAAATGAAACACCAACATCAAAACCAGTTACCGATGTCGCGCAACTCACAACAGAACAATTACTCGACAACGCACAAGTCGTGCCCAACATCACCACCTCCATCAACACTGAGACTACACTCACCAATGCACAATCCACACAACCATCATCACCTGCATCTCCAACATCACAACCAGTTACCGATGTCGCGCAACTCACAACAGAACAATTACTCGACAACGCACAAGTCGTGCCCAACATCACCACCTCCATCAACACTGAGACTACACTCACCAATGCACAATCCACACAACCATCACCTGCATCTCCAACATCACAACCAGTTACCGATGTCGCGCAACTCACAACAGAACAATTACTCGACAACGCACAAGTCGTGCCCAACATCACCACCTCCATCAACACTGAGACTACACTCACCAATGCACAATCCACACAACCATCATCACCTGCATCTCCAACATCACAACCAGTTACCGATGTCGCGCAACTCACAACAGAACAATTACTCGACAACGCACAAGTCGTGCCCAACATCACCACCTCCATCAACACTGAGACTACACTCACCAATGCACAATCCACAAAACCATCATCACCTGCATCTCCAACATCACAACCAGTTACCGATGTCGCGCAACTCGCAACAGAACAATTACTCGACATCGCACAAGTCGTGCCCAACATCACCACCTCCATCAACACTGAGACTACACTCACCAATGCACAATCCACACAACCATCATCTGCATCTCCAACATCACAACCAGTTACCGATGTCACGCAACTCACAACAGAACAATTACTCGACAACGCACAAGTCGTGCCCAACATCACCACCTCCATCAACACTGAGACTACACTCACCAATGCACAATCCACACAACCATCATCACCTGCATCTCCAACATCACAACCAGTTACCGATGTCGCGCAACTCACAACAGAACAATTACTCGACAACGCACAAGTCGTGCCCAACATCACCACCTCCATCAACACTGAGACTACACTCACCAATGCACAATCCACACAACCATCATCACCTGCATCTCCAACATCACAACCAGTTACCGATGTCGCGCAACTCACAACAGAACAATTACTCGACAACGCACAAGTCGTGCCCAACATCACCACCTCCATCAACACTGAGACTACACTCACCAATGCACAATCCACACAACCACCATCACCTGCATCTCCAACATCACAACCAGTTACCGATGTCACGCAACTCACAACAGAACAATTACTCGACAACGCACAAGTCGTGCCCAACATCACCACCTCCATCAACACTGAGACTACACTCACCAATGCACAATCCACACAACCATCATCACCTGCATCTCCAACATCACAACCAGTTACCGATGTCGCGCAACTCGCAACAGAACAATTACTCGACAACGCACAAGTCGTGCCCAACATCACCACCTCCATCAACACTGAGACTACACTCACCAATGCACAATCCACACAACCATCATCACCTGCATCTCCAACATCACAACCAGTTACCGATGTCGCGCAACTCACAACAGAACAATTACTCGACAACGCACAAGTCGTGCCCAACATCACCACCTCCATCAACACTGAGACTACACTCACCAATGCACAATCCACACAACCATCATCACCTGCATCTCCAACATCACAACCAGTTACCGATGTCGCGCAACTCGCAACAGAACAATTACTCGACAACGCACAAGTCGTGCCCAACATCACCACCTCCATCAACACTGAGACTACACTCACCAATGCACAATCCACACAACCATCATCACCTGCATCTCCAACATCACAACCAGTTACCGATGTCGCGCAACTCGCAACAGAACAATTACTCGACAACGCACAAGTCGTGCCCAACATCACCACCTCCATCAACACTGAGACTACACTCACCAATGCACAATCCACACAACCATCATCACCTGCATCTCCAACATCACAACCAGTTACCGATGTCACGCAACTCACAACAGAACAATTACTCGACAACGCACAAGTCGTGCCCAACATCACCACCTCCATCAACACTGAGACTACACTCACCAATGCACAATCCACACAACCATCATCACCTGCATCTCCAACATCACAACCAGTTACCGATGTCGCGCAACTCACAACAGAACAATTACTCGACAACGCACAAGTCGTGCCCAACATCACCACCTCCATCAACACTGAGACTACACTCACCAATGCACAATCCACACAACCATCATCACCTGCATCTCCAACATCACAACCAGTTACCGATGTCGCGCAACTCACAACAGAACAATTACTCGACAACGCACAAGTCGTGCCCAACATCACCACCTCCATCAACACTGAGACTACACTCACCAATGCACAATCCACACAACCATCATCCTGCATCTCCAACATCACAACCAGTTACCGATGTCGCGCAACTCACAACAGAACAATTACTCGACAACGCACAAGTCGTGCCCAACATCACCACCTCCATCAACACTGAGACTACACTCACCAATGCACAATCCACACATCCATCATCACCTGCATCTCCAACATCACAACCAGTTACCGATGTCGCGCAACTCGCAACAGAACAATTACTCGACAACGCACAAGTCGTGCCCAACATCACCACCTCCATCAACACTGAGACTACACTCACCAATGCACAATCCACACAACCATCATCACCTGCATCTCCAACATCACAACCAGTTACCGATGTCGCGCAACTCACAACAGAACAATTACTCGACAACGCACAAGTCGTGCCCAACATCACCACCTCCATCAACACTGAGACTACACTCACCAATGCACAATCCACACAACCATCATCTGCATCTCCAACATCAACCACGGTTAATTTTATGGGCTCTTTTTATCATGAATTGATTACTCCTGTCATTGCTTCGAATTCAAATATTTCAACGTCTTTTTCGCGTTCATCTTCTAATTTTCATTCTGTTCGACCTTTCGTTCCTTCGTTGACTAATTCCTTTACGGAAGCCGATCGCTTTTCTGATTATGAATTTTATGATATTTTGTATGATAGTCTTTGTCTTTTTCCTTCGCTTTCGAATGATTCTAAACATGTTTGGAAATCTCATTTTCCTGACACCGATATTGATTATTTCATCTCAAATTGTAATTTCTCAGAGATTCATCATGCTTCATTTCATAGTAACAAAGTATTCTTTTTGAAACTTTTGAAATGTTGCCGATCGCTCATCCGAAATTATGATGATTTATTCAACGTTTATTCTGAGACAAATCATTTGTGTTACAAATACTTTCACTGTTAATCTTTGATGCTACTTATTCATGATTATATTTTAGTAGTATGTAATATGTTATTTGACATAAATCTGCTACACAATGGAAATGTGTTATTCCACTATATTTCCAATGATTATTGAGTAGTTATTACTTAATCTAAAATGATATATACCGAATAATATTTTTGTTTTACGTCCTGATTCAATTTTCACTTCTACTCATTTTCTTATGGTGATTGAATACATTCCGTTCATATTTAGATTATTGTTTCGTTAATGATCATAGTGTAATAAAGTAAACTACATTGCCAGTTTATATTCCCTATTCCTTTAAGTTGATTTTTGAACTCACATTACACAATGTATTTAGACAGATGGATTGTGAAGTGTTTTGAAGTGTTTCATGTTTTTCTTCACATATTTGATCAACTGATAATACACTATTGATTATTTTACAGGTTTCATTTGTTATTCAAAACCCATTCATTTCAAACATTTAGTACGTATTAATGGAATGGAGTGAAGAGTGTCATCCGATTGGACAAATGTGTGCTATCCTATTAACGAACATTCAACTGATGTTAGTCGGTGACACCAAACATCTATCAAACAAACCATCCTCTACAAACTCAATCACACCAAATCTCTTCGTTTAGTAAACATTTTGTATTGTTGATCTGAAGAATTATAGTGAACAGTATGTAGTTATGTAACAAATAATGATTTTATCTGCGTAGTAATGTCTCTACGATGATAACATCTTGAAATTCACTGGTTTCACTTAAATCAACGAATTCGAAATTAAGATATTTGAATTCTTCTTATAAATGAAAGTTAGAAGACAATATGTAGGTTAAATAAGAATTGGAACTGTTGTTCTCTGAAGAACTGAGTTTATTTTCACTTCAACTGTGAATATTCTGCTTATTATTTGGATAACATTAATTAACGATGATAATAAGAATAACAGTAATAGATGAACACTGTACCAATTGTTGAACCTATAGAAAGTGTGTAGATATGTTGAGATTTGAGTTTCAATTCTCACTCTATTCATCTCGATGTGTTCTACATTCTGGGAAGTGTTTGTATGTGCATGACTATCACCATCACTTTGATCCTAAAAAATTTAAAGATTTGTAGTCACTCAATCATGCACTCAGATCATTTCTTGTTACTAGATCTCTCATGTAACACTCTAGAGTCATACTACCCCCAAATGCCGAGAGTGGGGAGAGTTCGCTCTCCCTCTCGAAATGCTCTCACACGGCCACGCGTATATAGCCACTGCCAGGGAAGTTCTACTCACTGCCTTCTCGTGGCATTACTGTTGTTTACGAAAATGAGAGGACGGAAAGCGAATGTCTGTCGCTTTAACCGGATCCTAAACCAATGGTGCACATGGGCTCCAGTATCCTGCGGGAACAAATGGCGTATGAACCAATTGTTGGTCACCGGCTTCTATGGGACTGCGTCTCCTTACGATGCTCCACTGCCTTGTGGATCAGACCCTCAGGTCGAAGGTCACAGAAACTATTCTTCCTTATTAATATTATCTTTTTTTTAACTATCAATCTTCTTTTGAATTAATGTATGTTAATTGAGTACAAATTTTTAGATGAAGTTGATGTTAGTATTAATATGTTATGTCATGTCAACTATATGAAGATGTTATTTAACTCACTCTTAGATTGATTGTTTCTATGACCTTTCCTTTATCAGTTTATGTGAATTTCTTATCATAACTTTCTTGAAAGTACTTCTCTTATTCAAACGATCATATTATTATTATTATTATTATTATTATTATTATTATTATTATTATTATTATTATTATTATTATTATTATTATTATTATTATTATCTTCATTAATGAAACGAAATTCTCCTACAACAATTTAGTTGATTAATTTTTTGATTGAGATCATGAACCGATTGACCACCATCAGTCGATTCATGATCTCAATCAAAAACTTAACAATCTCCATAACCCCTAAACTGGTATTTGCTTATTATTATATTGAATATAACGAATCATTCTAACTATTAGTAAATAACCGTTCTAATTTATAAATGACACAATTTTCTAGTAATTATGCTTTAACAAATGTAAATGTTAATCATTTGTAACATATAACATTATTTAATTCGTTAATATATTTTAATGGTTGAATTCATAAGTCAATGGTGGACGGTGGCGGAACTTCTTGGTTTGATTGGAGTCAGACATTAACAAACGGTGAATGCCGACTTAGTGTTCTAGAGGTTAAGCGCTTGTGTACGAGACTGAGAGGTTCTGGATTCGAATCTCACGGGACAGGATCGTAGAACCTGATGAAGAAATTAATGAAAACAATTATTCATGAGAATATTCTTTGTTTTTTTTTATTTGGAGATTTTTAAATTTCTTTAAAAACCCTACCTCTTTAACTTTAAATTTTTTTATTCATCTACTTGTTTCCTTATTTAAGTAGTTCTTTATTATTGACGAATCAAATTTGAAAGTTGTTTTATGGAAATTTAATGAAAACTTTATCTCCAATAATGCAGAATTACTAAATATACTTTTGTGAATAATTGTATATTATTGTTGTATGATATTTACTTGTAAACAGATTAAGTACTTAAAATTTATGGGGTATAATATTTGTCTAAATATCTAATGATTTAATAAAACACCAGTGATCGTTTTGTTACTAGGTGTTTTTTGAAAAGAAAAAGAAAAAGAAAAATGATTTAAAATACAAATATGTTTTATACGTAAAGATGGATAATGGTTAGGAGTGGAATCCAGGACGCACGTTTCATCCTGTTCGGGACCCGTCAGTTGAACTCGAACTCAGTACACTTCGTTTCAAACGGCGTCGGGTTATCCACTTAGCTACTGAGTTCTGGAGTGAACATCAACTCTGACATTCAGGTAAATCCAACTGACAAGTTCAAAATATAACGAAACGCATGTCCTGGATTCCACGGCTAGCCATCATTCATCTTTGTTTATAAAGCTTGTGATTGGAGGCAATATCGAGGCAATCCGCACGTGATGCACATAGGCGAACAAGAGACTGATCAATTGCAGTCCTAAACAACAATGGGAAGATACAAGCAAACAACACGAAGTGAATTTACAAATAAGTTTGTTGTAAATAACAGGTATATGAAACTATGCGATAAAATGACGGAAGTATAAAGGGAGTTGTTTGAACTTAGGCATTCATTACTTTTAATTAGAATACCGAGTTATTTGAAGAAGTTACGGGATGTTTCAAATGAGGTCAACGAAATGTTTAAATAAGTGTTGTTGAGAAGAATAGCTTCATTAAAAAAACAAAAACAAATTAGATTTCATTCTAAGGTCTAAATGGATAAATTTTATCATTATTATTATTAATATTATTTTAGGAAGTGTTGTGACTTTATGTCCGGCATTTCATCACTTGATTTATCCACCAATCAAAATACGACTTATACAATCTTAGCACTGTGCCAAACCAATGAGGTTGTTTGATGACGAAGATTTTGATAACAATGAACTGAAGTAACCACGCAATTACTTTTTCAGACTCAAGTTCGAATGTGGTTAAAGTCACAGAGGATTTATTTGTGAGTAATTTGTTTCTAGTAACATTTCCACCATCAGAAATAGCTCGTGTATGCTGTAGAAATGGCTATGAAACTGATGGAAGAAATCTTAATCACCCTCAAAAGAAGGGAGTAAGTGTAATAAGTTTATAAGAGTGTTTTGTCCAGTGCTTCATCAAGATATATTTCTCCAGCGTTTATATTTTCTAAGCAGACAGGAAGATGATGGAGTGTAGTTTGTAAAAATGTGCACCACGACTATGAATGGAATCCACTGGCTTATCACAGTATTTCATCGATGCGGAAGCCAACAGGATCAGAGTTCGAATCCAGCAGGCCTCTTGTATTTCCAGCCACTGCTACATTTAACCGGGTCTATCATTTATACCTCTCATTTTGGAAGCGTCTGTATTCACGGGATGTGTTCAGTACGAGTCATAAAGTGTCTATATGTAAACGGATAAAATAATATCACTCTGGAGATGTCGTGAGTATAGACCGGATAAACGTGATGAGTTAGAGTATTATTTATTTGCAACGGTGGATTAAAAGAACTCGATGAATCATTATCTTGATGTTTTCGGTTTAGATGGAACCTATAAAACAAGCAACGAATACTTTTTCTCTACCAAATTTTTACACTTGACCTAAATTTCATGGCCATATCAATTTATTTTACGTTTATCGTCGAGAAATTTCTCCAATGATTAGTCAGTTGTTCAAACTAGAACCAGGAAACATAAGTCTTGTAGAGATTTGTTAGGAGGATGTTGTTTCAGTAAATTCGGAAGAACTACATAATATGGACAAAAACTTAGATGAAGATGTTCACACCTATGGATTATGCAACGTGTGTCATCAGAACAGTAACGGAACATGCAATGAATCCCAAATGGTGAAGTTTCATGTCATTGTTAATTAATAGTTTTCTGTGTAGTTTTTATGCATTTAGTATACTGAATATTTGCCAGAAACTCATGGAGGTCATTCAAATCTGATTTTCAGACTTTTTTCTTCGTCTCATTAAAATAAATATTTCCTATTGTAATATTTAAAGTTGGAAAAATATATTATTCATCTTTCGTATTTAATTTATTATGTTCTGTCCGCAAATAGAGTGGAGTTGGTGTAAAGTTATCAATAGTTAGAGATAAACCAAATTGTAGGTGATTTAGTGAACATGTCTAATAATTCATTATACTTATGCCTGTTACCCGTCGTGGGGGAGCATAGGTCGACCACCAGCACTCTCCATCCAACTCTGTTCTGCACAATCCTTTCCAGTTCTTTTCAGTTGCTACTCATCCTTTTCATATCTGCTTCCAACTCTCAACTCATTGTGTTCTTTGGTCTATTTCTTTTCCGTTTCCCTTCACGATTCCAAGTGAGCGCTTGCTTCATGATGCAGTTTGGTGATTTCCATAATCTATGTCCTATCCACTTCCATCATCTTTTCGTAATTTCCTTTTCAGTTAGAAGCTTGTTTGTTATCTGCTATAGTAGGCTGTTACTGATGGTATCCGGTCAACGAACATTCAGTATTTTACGTAGAAAATTGTTTATATATATACGTAAATCACCAACACAGGTAACAATCATATGCTAATTGGTGACCATCTTCAATATGTAACTCACAGAGTTATGCCATCTGCGGATTCGAAGTCAATAAGTGGACCTCGTAGAAGAAGATCAATTCCGGAGAATCCAGTCGATGAGAACGTTATTTCCATCAGTATGTCTATGATGAAGTTGAACGAAAATGGAGATAGTGGACAGTATTTTACATAGAAAATTGTTTATATATATGTAAATCATCAATACAAGTAACAATCATATGCTAATTGGTGACCATCTTCAAGATGTAACTCATAGAGTTATAGAAAGAGGCCGTGACCAGTGGGATTAAATCCGTGTCAGGTATGATTTAGTTATCCATCGTAGATAATCGCTGAATAGTTGCACACGCTCACAGATCGATTGAATGCTGGCTAATGGTCTAGAGGTTTGGCGTTCGCTCGCGATGCCCACGGTGCTAGGTTTGATTTCAGTTTGTTGGATTGTTGATGGACACTTCTGAGGAGTTCCATACTAGGATGAAACGGTAGTCTAGTGCTTCCAGGCTTCAATGGTGGTTTGTATTGAGCTAGTAGTAGTATTGAACTACATACTGTATTGACATGAGAGTTATTTCAAAATTCAGAAACTTATTTCATTTCACAGACAATCCATCTTCTCCTCTTCACATTGGCACCGTGATTTCTCATTCTTTTAACACTATTCTTAATCTCGTATCTCTTACACCACATCCGCCTTCTGCATCAATCACAAATTGATTTATTTCGCTTCGCGTTTACTACTCTACTAACATTCCTACTTCTACTCTTACTAGGACTACTGTTATTACTGCACATACTTCAACAACTACAATACTGTAGCTACTGATATTCATAATATTACATATACCAATTACTGCGAATACGTCCAACGTGTGAACCAGTCAGTCAGTCAGCGACATCGTAGGAAAAGGCATATATATTCACTAGTCAAAGTTGCCCTACCGCATTAGTACAACAAGATGAACACCAAATTAATAAAAGTGGTCACTTCAATGTTAGTAATATATAAAAGGATATAGTAGAGAAAGAGAAAATTAGAAAGAAATGTATAAGGTAATTTTAATTTCACGGCTTAAGGGAAGACAAATAGTGTATACACCGATACCATTGTGATCGATTCTGAGCCATGTCACACAGAGTCTCTAGTCATTGGTTACGATAGTCACGCGAACACCAACCAAGTAGTCTACATCTGCCAACATGTCTCAGGTTAGAAGCTAGTGAAGTTGTCAAGGAGTTCGACTACTTCACTCCCTATCCTTAGTTCAGGTGTTGACGCAGACCAGTCCCGAAACAACAACTTGCATTTAGAGGGGGAAAAGCGCATCCAAAATATTCTGGTAGTGTTACTCAGTGCTACCAGAGACTCTTCATTTTATCAGCGTCTTCACCAAACACGACTATGTCATCTGCACATTCTAAGTCAATAAGTGGACCTCCTAGAAGGAGATCGATTCCCGAGAATCGAGTCGACGAGAACGTTATTTCCATCAGTATGTCTATGATGAAGTTGAACAAAAATGGAGATAGCAGTCAGCCTTGTCGGACACCACTTGAGGTTGCGAAATCAGATGACAGTTTGCTATAAGTTCTGACTCGACTAGTAATGTTTGAGAGAAGAGCCTTCACAATGTTTATATACTTCAATGACAGGCACTGCCACAGAACCTCATAATTTACTGAGTCAAATGCTGCTTTTAGGTTGATAAAGAATACCATTGTTGGACGCCAATAAGCATGCCTGTGTTCTAGAACCTGACGAATGATGAATATGTGGTCGATGCAGCCGCAACCAGATCTGTATCCAGCCTGATTTTCTCGTGTTTTCAGTTCACGAGTCTTCACTAGGCGCCAGATAATTATTGAGGCTTGTGTTTTAGATGCTAGGTTAGTCAAACTAATCATTGTATGATTATCACAGGATGGTTTTGACACCACTGCTCACGGTCGTTCCTTAGACTTCTGGTTAACCTAGGTCTGACTTGTTTTCGCTCGTCATCTTGTTCAGAGTGTGATGGTATGAGTATACATGAATCCATTTGTGCAATAGACTTAGTGAAAAACCATTTGTTTTTCGTAACCCTTTGGTTTAAATCACTGATAGTTGTATAGTTTGGAGAGAGGTTTCAGTAAAGCTGCGACAGTGTTCCGCACACTAGAAACGTTGGCCATGGTGAAGTGTGAGTAGATATCCAGTGTGCTGATTTGAAAAAGTTCAGTAATAATAGAATGTTATTGCATCAGGTCACATTGAATGAAACATGCAGTCAAAAATTATCAGCAGATAAAAACACTGATAAAGATTATGTTAGTGGATTGAATTTAAAGTTGAGAAGGATAACAACTAAAGAAATTAATCTCTTTTCACAAACACTGATCTTTTAAGAACTTAGATTAAAACGATTGTAGTTTGATTACAATGAGAAATATTAGTGTTAATATGGGTTATGTTATTAAAGACTACCATTCAAATACATTAGTTAATCAAATGATAGACAATACATTCTGCATAGTGTCTTCATTCAATTAATGAGTGAATTGAAGACAAGAATAAAGTGACAAACTGTATATGAAAAAGATTATTAAACGATCACACTTATGAGAAATGATCTATATTGTCTACGTGAACTGTTGTCATTTCATTCATACAACGTATTAGCAACAAGAAAATTAGTATATAAGTGAAACTGATTTACAAAAACAGCGTATTGAAGTTGCAAATTCAACTTCATATCACACTGATTATCTTATGAATAACTGTGATTCAATCATACACAAATCATGATATTGATGAAGATGATTTTATTGACATTCTGTTTCTATTTGACACTACAATTGAATCACATTAGTGGACAACTGAATGAACACACCAATGTACAACAGAATCAAACTATCTCACATATTGTTTTAGATGCAAATGAAACTAATCCGATTGCCGATAACAATCAATCAGAAATGGATGTTACGAATCTAATGGAAAATCAATTGGATTCATCAGATATTGACATTGAAAGGAAAAGGAGGTCACAACAAACACAACTTATCATAGATTTCAGTGGAATAAAAGAAAAGAGAATAGCGTTACAGAGACAAATATCGGAAGGAGATGACAGAATATCATCGATTGTACAAAATCAAGAGCAGCGTGCAATATCGAAAACACAAAGAAATATCAGTGAATTTCAAGTAGAGCAACGACAAAATATAGAAGAAAAATTGCTGAAAGAAAAAAAACATCAAAGAACAAACCAACATAACAAAAATGAAGGAATGAAGAATAAAACTGAAGAGGAGAACACCATTAAAACAACACTAACAAAAATAATGTACACAGAAATCTCATCTGAAAGACCAACATCACAACCAGTTACCGATGTCGCGCAACTCACAACAGAACAATTACTCGACAACGCACAAGTCGTGCCCAACATCACCACCTCCATCAACACTGAGACTACACTCACCAATGCACAATCCACACAACCATCATCTGCATCTCCAACATCACAACCAGTTACCGATGTCGCGCAACTCACAACAGAACAATTACTCGACAACGCACAAGTCGTGCCCAACATCACCACCTCCATCAACACTGAGACTACACTCACCAATGCTCAATCTACACAACAGTCACCTTGATTTTGAACTGCCTACAGAATTTTCGTTAATTTAGGGCTTGAAATCAATTTTACTTCTTCGGTGACTCGTTTGTGATACTTTTCTTTTTCTTTTTCTCTCGTTTCTCATCGTGGTATTGTCATTGTGCGATTTACTTCTGATAATCTCTTGTTTTTAATTTTGATTTTATGCATGACGTTTTGAAGAATCCTGTCTTTCTTCCTCTTTTCATTTGGAGTTATTGTAGTGATGTTTGGAATTTTTCTTATTATCGTGACAATGATCTTGATTTTTTTAATCTCAAATTGTAATTTCTCAGAGATTCATCATGCTTCATTTCATAGTAACAAAGTATTCTTTTTAAAACTTTTGAAATGTTGCCGATCGCTCATCCGAAATTATGATGATTTATTCAATGTTTATTCTGAGACAAATCATCTGTGTTACAAATACTTTCACTGTTAATCTTTGATGCTACTTATTCATGATTATAATTTAGTAGTATGTAATATGTTATTTGACATAAATCTGCTACACAATGGAAATGTGTTATTCCACTATATTTCCAATGATTATTGAGTAGTTATTACTTAATCTAAAATGATATATACCGAATAATATTTTTGTTTTACGTCCTGATTCAATTTTCACTTCTACTCATTTTCTTATGGTGATTGAATACATTCCGTTCATATTTAGATTATTGTTTCGTTAATGATCATAGTGTAATATAGTAAACTACATTGCCAGTTTATATTCCCTATTCCTTTAAGTTGATTTTTGAACTCACATTACACAATGTATTTAGACAGATGGATTGTGAAGTGTTTTGAAGTGTTTCATGTTTTTCATCACATATTTGATCAACTGATAATACAGTATTGATTATTTTACAGGTTTCATTTGTTATTCAAAACCCATTCATTTCAAACATTTAGTATGTATTAATGGAATGGAGTGAAGAGTGTCATCCGATTGGACAAATGTGTGCTATCCTATTAACGAACATTCAACTGATGTTAGTCGGTGACACCAATCATCTATCAAACAAACCATCCTCTACAAACTCTTTCACACCAAATCTCTTCGTTTAGTAAACATTTTGTATTGTTGATCTGAAGAATTATAGTGAACAGTATGTAGTTATGTAACAAATAATGATTTTATCTGCGTAGTAATGTCTCTACGATGATAACATCTTGAAATTCACTGGTTTCACTTAAATCAACGAATTCGAAATTAAGATATTTGAATTCTTCTTATAAATGAAAGTTAGAAGACAATATGTAGGTTAAATAAGAATAGGAACTGTTGTTCTCTGAAGAACTGGATTTATTTTCACTTCAACTGTGAATATTCTGCTTATTATTTGGATAACATTATTTAACGATGATAATAAGAATAACAGTAATAGATGAACACTGTACCAATTGTTGAACCTATAGAAAGTGTGTAGATGTGTTGAGATTTGAGTTTCAATTCTCACTCTATTCATCTCGATGTGTTCTACATACTGGGAAGTGTTTATATATGCATGAGTAACAGCAGGAAAGAAGCAAAAATGTTGGTTTCTTTCCGTTATGCTATTGTACTGCCAAGTTATTTCTCAAGTATATAATCTGTTAGTGAGGCATAATATATTTTAGAACTCAGCATAACTGAGTATACCAAACCATATGAACAAGAAATAAATGTGGTAGCAGTGATAGTTAGAAAGTTTAAGAATATGCGTTCGAAAAGACGAAATCCGAACATTTATGTACTATTTTTGTAGAAACCCTAATCTCATACTTCATAGTTTTTAATATTTATCCATGAAAGTTACTTCACCATGATCAGTAATCCTTTGATAACATGCCCTACCCGTTATTATCCTAGTGAAGATTAAATTACAAGTAACTTCTGAGAACTATTCATAGACTAATATTATGTATTTTCTTATTGTATGAATATTCAGTAACTAGATTAGGTATATCTATATTCCTCTTATCATAAACTCCAATTTGAGCTATAGATTATTACTATTATTATACGATCTGCTTTTCGTAAATTATGTTCTGCTTATTGGTTACAATCTCCCACGTTCACAGACACTTTTTGGCTTGATCTTGTATAAATGTTATTTCCTATTTTAAGTTGTGATACGGTCTGTTTGGCTGGTACATAAACCAAGTATGTATGAAATAAATAATTCGCATAGTGTAAGCGGTTATTGGCGTTATGGATTCAAGTGGACGGTCTAGGCGAACAAGGGACGAATAAGGATGCTAGGCTGCTCATACCACTCGAACGTCATTGGTTTAGCATCTTACCAAGCTTGAATAATTCGTATTCGATCGATGAATAAATCTCGCGATAATACAGACGGGCTTAAAGCCACAACGTTACCAATTTTAGTACGTTAATTATGGTGTTCAATTAAATAACTTCTTAGGGAGCTGTCATCTCTATCGTTACCTTGTAAATAATTTTATCTTAAATAATAACAATAAACCATTAGCAAAGATGGATAGTGGCTGGCAGTGGAATCCAGGACGCGCGTTCCGTCCCGTCTGGAACTCCTCAGCTGGATGTACCTGCATCTCATAGTTGATGTTCACTCTGGGCCTCGAACTCAGTACCGTTCGCCTACAAACGCCATCGTGTTATCCACTTAGCTACTGAGTCCAGATAGCCATGTGCTTGTGCAATGGGGTGAAGTTTAATTCACTTGATATTGTTTTTACTTGAATCTTCTCATTGATGTTTTAGGACTGAAATTGATCAGTCTCTTATGCCACTATCCATCTTTGCTTATAATGCTTGTAAATTAAAGCAATATCGAGGCATACGCACAGTATGCACACATGCCAATAAGAGACTGATCAATTTCAGTCCTAAAACATCAATGGGAAGATTCAAGTAAAAACAATATCAAGTGAAATAAACCATTAGATTTCAATAATGACTAACACATACACCTAAAAATGATCAACAATCCAGTCAATGTTCGTGATAAATAGATCAAAAAGATTTTGACCACATAAATTGGATTGTTCTATTTTAGTTGATCACTTAAGACTCTATTAAAAGCGTAACAATTTCTTAGCTGTTGGGTTTAATATCTTCTTAACGAATACAAAAACAAAGTCAAAATTGAGTTCATTTCAAATTGGCACATAATTGTATTTCATTTTTTATGAATAACAAATCTAATCTACACTGATGTTTTTCTTTGACTCATGTAGGTAGATACAGCAATACAAATAATTCCTGATTAAATACATTTTTGATTGATGGATTATCTACAGTGTTATAAATCGTACACATGAATCATTCTAATTTCATTACAAATAATCATTATCATTTCTTCAATATTATACACTGATTGTATATCTTCGTTAAATAATCTCTGTCACAAAAACAAATACAAAGATATTATAATGGTAGACATTTAATTCAACAATAAAGTCAATCTGACTAATCTACTAGTATTCAGATCCATGATGTTTATTTTGGTGTATTTTCGCTACTATGTGCATATCGTCCATAGTCGTATTGCTCACACTTGGAAATGGGAACCGCTGAAATTTCCAATGACAAAAAGTAAGAACGTGAAAGACTGATGTAATCAAAACGTTTTGGTTTCCCGAAACATGTCCACAGAAAAATCCCTGAAACACATTGTCCTTAGGTAGAAATACAATCATTTATATGTTAATTCGTGCACATAATAGTATAACATGGAAGGGAAAGTGGATGTAGTTACAGTAAAAACGTACACATTGAACATAGTTCATCCGAATTGATAGAAGAAGCAAAAATGTCGCTCTGAACGAAGATTTACACTTGTCATATTGAATGGTGTTTAAACCAGATTAATACAAGAAATATTGACCCAAAAACGTCACAATCAATGAAGTTCATATGTCAGTCTGATCGTTAATAATCAATTGATACAATAATATTGACCTGAACAACGACATACTAACCTGTTATACCATATAGTTTACAAATCATCCAACAACACATTTAGTAATAAATTCCGAGATACCCACAAACCCATCATCCTACAAATATGCAATTACTTTTGAAATTACTAGTCATCCAAAACCAGGGTGGTAGATCATAGATTCTCATGAGTCAAAAACACCCTCTATTAGATTTACCGGTGTCTAATCGATCAAAATTATTTGGGTAGTCAAAGTTAAACCTTGATTCTTCGATGCTTGATACATTTCAGCAATCAGATTAGTTCCATGTACCATGAAATAGTCAAGAACAATCGCCACAATCATCACAGACTGATATAGTAAGACTCATTACAGTCTGGTCAGCCAAAAATGAGAATTCATTTGATTAAAAATACTTCTAGAAAATTTCATTGTATTAAATTTCAAAAACCTGGTTGGTTTTAACAATTAAAATTAACAACCACTAACACTTAGATTGTATGGTCGATTACTACGTTAAGACCATACAACGTATTCTAGCTTCTGAACAGGTCAATTTATCCGTTCTTCTTGTGTCACGTTTTGACTTTGTTAATCATTCACTTATCAACCTTGACTGTTTTTATGCTACTTTCAGTGTAAAACTCAACTCGTCCAGCTTGTAAATTTGCCTAATTTTTTAGTCCATTGCAAGAAGTTTTTGAGATAATTACTTTTGTCTTCTCTTGAGACAAATCGGGGTCGTAGAAATTCATGAATAAGGTTCCATTTGTGATTTAGCTATCTAAAAATTGTAAACCGTGAATGCTCTGGACGAATGACTATGCAGGCTGCCTTTTTGAGGACTTAATTGCACCAAGTTCTCATGAAAATCATGTAGTTCAACTTCAGGACTTAAAGTTTTCTTAGGATCAATTAAAGACGATGTACAAGATCCAGGTAGATAAATATCCGTTGTCAGATGAACAATGGATTTATTTGAAGGTGACAAAACTGAATCATTTGATCGTAATACATGTTGGCTTATTTGTATTTTACTGATATCAGCAAACTGACCAACTGATTCCCATGTGATTCCGTTCAATGTAA